CCGTCGTCGACGACGCCGCGGCCGGCGAACCATCCGTCGAGGTCCGCCCCGCGGGCCGCCGCCGTCCGCGCCGCGACGATCTCCGTTAAAAGCGCAATGTCGACGATGCTGAGCGGGGCAGGCTCGCCAAGCCGCAGCGCGCAGATGGGATAGCGGTGGTAGAGCGCGAAGTTCGACGTCGCTTGGGGGGAACCAAACACGGCAGAGGACTCAAAGACTGAAGAGGGGCCTGTGGATGACACAGAAGGTGGGGAAGTCCCTGTGGATGACACGGAGGGTGAAAAGGGGCCTGTGGATGTCACAGAAGGTGAAAAGGGGTCTGTGGATGTCACAGAGGGTGAAAAGGGGTCTGTGGATGTCACAGAGGGTGCAAAAGCCATTGGAGAGAACCCAAGGGGTGAAAAAGATGTCAAAGAAGACACAGGGGGCAGGCTGTGGGGGTGGCTGTAGAGGGCGGAGGTGCCGTACCAGCCCAGGAGGACACACAGGAGATGAAGAAAAAGGACAAGGATGGAAAGGAAGAGGGCGCCGCTGAGGTTCGTCAGGTCCTGCACGGCGAAAGTCGCGCTGAGGAAATTGTGCGCAATGAGGAAAAAACAAAAGAGCCCCATCCAAAAATCCACCAGTACAAAAGTGGTGCACCACAACGCGAAGAGGTAAACCAGAAAGGCGAGAAACGAAATTCGCAACAGCCGCAGATTCCCCGAGTACCTCAAGCAGATGAAGGCCAAGACAAAGAACGATGTGTTGATCCCTAGCGCCAGGTTCTGCATGAGGCTGCGGGTCCCGCCTTGATGGTCAATCCCGAAGTCGAAGACGATGAAAAGCCACGTGATGCTCAACAGCACCATCACCACCCGCATGAAGGCCCTGCTCAAGGGCGTGACGATCGCATCGGTGTAGTAATGCACAACAAAAGTCGTGATGATCGTCATCACGATCGTGCACGCGTAGAGCTGGATAAGATGGCTGATGATAAACCCAACGCCAAAGAGAAAACTCAACGCGAATGGGGTCCCGCAGATCACGAACGACGAGGTCCGCGTCACAAACGCCAAATCCAACGTCTTTATCACATTCTTGCCGATGCCAAAAGTCAGAAAGAACGGTAGCGCGGCGATATAGTTTTTGGACTTTTTGCTATTCGTCCTCGGCGAGGTGCCTCCGATGGCGGCGAAAAAAATATGCGTAAAGATCACGACATCGGCGGCTGCGATCCACCCGACGGTAAATGCGCACTGGAAGCCGACAAAGATACTTCGCTTGGAGCTGTAGATGCATAAAATCACCCCCTGGATAATAAGGATCGCCGCTAAAAGGACAATCTCGGCGATGGTCCCCCAGTAGCTACCCAGACGCTCAAAGGGTGGAATCACGGTGTTCTGGTAGATCGCGGCGATGAGATTACTCCCCCGCGTGCAGAGCGCCGATCCCTGGATGATGATCATGGTTAAGACGCAGCTAAAGGGGAAAAAATACTTGGGTGAGTTGTCGATGCTGAGAAAGAGCGTCACGATCAAACTCGCGGTAAACAGGGAAAGAAAGATGAACGCGCAGACGAAGTTCACCATATTGATCAGCAGCACACCCTGCAAAAATAGCTTCAGAAGAGCGCGCAAAGGGGATAAAATCCCGGTATACCAGAAGTGATCAATCGTATCGAACCCACACGACGCGTTTCCGCGATAGTGGCCCATCGACTCGTTCATCGCGCGTAGAATATCGAATCTCGCGCGGTCCTCCTGATCCGCCACCTCAATCCGCCATCGCAGCAACTCGTCAAGAAAAAACAAACGCAGATCGGACGAGAGCGGGGCGAGCACGACCGACCACGGCACGCCAACCCCTTCCCCCTGCAAAATGGAGGGCATCATGTAATTATAATTCCCATCGATGGGGCTTTCGGGGTCTTGGTAAAAGCTGTCGGAGATGCAGGTGAGGAGGCTGCGGTCCTCCTCGTTCTCGGTGGAGATGGCGCCCCTTTCCGACTGCCGCGGCCGCGGCCCTCCCCCAAATGGGCCCCGCCACGAGGGATTTCCCCTATCCCCCCATAACCCCCGCAAGGGTGGGAAGGCGGAATTGGGGTCCGAAAAGGCCCCATACGGCTCCGTCTCCCGAATCCGCGCGAGTTCCCAGGTCTTGACCCGCATCCCGCACACGCGCACGGCGTGTTGGAGGCCGCGGAGGTACTTTTCCACCGCGCCCGCGAAG